TGACTGATATACTGTCTCATTTTTTGAAATGGTAGAAAACTGTTCAACTGGTTAGTCTTTTGTAGGTGGCAGGTTATATGCACTTACAGTTGCTGATGGATCATAATACGTAATGCATTAAACCTCAGAAGTTTTTGGTAGCAATTTTGTTGCTTCCACATTGTTGGTCTCGTGAACTGCACATCTTTCTTGCGTCATTCAATAAAATACAGACAGATTTTATGCTACAGACCATAGAAGTTATAAAACATTTAATTTAGAAACATCTTTCATCTCTGTCATCAAAAATCACTATGACTCAGCTACCGTCTACTGAATAGCACAGTTAGATGGTCCAACTCAAAGCAACCGAAGTTTTCTTTTAATGACTGAACTGTTTAATATTTCTAACAAAGCAGTAATGGCATTAAATTCCACAATCTTCTTTTATCTCGCGTAGTTCGTGCTAAGGATTTAGGTTTTTTCATCAACAATAAGTTATCTTATAAATCTCATTGTGCTCTAGTAGCCTATAAAACAGCCGAGACCATTAATTTATTTTTTCGAGCTGTTGTAAACGGGGATAAAAAATTTTTGCTAAAAATACTCGAAAATTTTTTTCTCTCTATTATGGATTAATTATCTTAAGTATATTATACTTATGAAAAGCAATCCAGTTATCTTTTTAAATCTTTCTAGAATTATTTTACAGCTAGATTACCTGCGTTTTACAAGTGCTGTTTCTATTTTTAGTAACAGAATATTTCAAGAAGGCTAGACACTTAAAAAAGTCTTAGAAATGTTGCAAAAAAAAGAACAAAGTAGTATTATGGCTGGACATCATTGCTTATCTGAAACATTTCTTCTTCTTTTCTTATTTTACACCTTTTTGTTTGCCATTTTCTAACGTCTTTTAGCCAATTAAGTTCTTTTCTAACAGCAGAAAAATATCTTCTCAACGCTGTTTTAATCGAACACACAGTTTAACTAAGACTGTTCAGCAATTATCCAAAAGATATACAAGACGGGTACAAAAAGAGAAGCCAACTGCAGTCGGTATTGAATTGCATAAAAAAGCAGCATAAAAAAATACTTTTGAATGTAATATAACTGCATCGAAGAATGTGCAAGATTTGTTGATAAGCTTATCCAGCTTCATCTACTAGTACTAATTCGGTGGCCTGCATCAGCAGTTACTGAAATATTCTAGCCGATATAAGTAACGGGATAACATCGTAAGCGGGTAAAAGATTTTGAAAGCAGTAATACAGTGACCACCTGTAATTTGTTTCCAAATACTCACATTCTTGATCCTGTCTCATAACTAGGCTCTTTATGGTACCAAGTCGAATAACTTCTGTCTGATTTGTTTTGTTCACGATGGATCATTGAATGCCTTATATTTCACCAGTTTTGGTAAAAAAAATCTTTCTAAACTAATATTTTTCTGGATAATAAACTGTAATTTTTTCTTAATCAAAATCTAGAAATTTCTACCGGTTGTGGTTCGTTTATCAAATTTCTGCTATGACTTTTTTTCTTTATTTGGATTACTACTGTTTTCGCTTCTTCAAATGCTAGATTCGGTAGTTCGTTAATTCTTCAACTTGACGTGTGCCCCTTCTAAATGATAAGACTGCCGTTGAGCAACAGGTTGCAAGTACGAAAAGAGAACCAATAAAGGCATTACAAAGGAAAAGATGACATCTAGCAAAAATTTCCAAAAAAAATTTTAATGGGGTTTCCAAAGTTTATGCAAACAGATGAACTCATCGAGTCAAAAGCGCAAAGAAAAGAACGGTATTTGAAGAAAAAAAGAGGAAGAAGTTGAAGTGTTGATGACTACTTCTTTATTATGTAAAATCCGCTTTCGAAATAGTCAGGTAATGTTATTTTTGAACGACACCTGAGAAAAGAAAATATTCAAAAAAATTAACAAAAAACTTTTGATACCGTTACATCCTAGATTTGAGCTATAACTTGTGTCATCGCCAAAATGCTCTAATAGAAAAAAGTCATTTTAACAATACGCTCCAAAGTTACCCCCATTCACGTGTTGCGGCAGAGTCTAACGCTAGACGAATCAATTTGTTTCAAAGTTACATGTACCCATGTACCAAGAGGAAGCTCTGAATGAGACAGACTCTGATATCATCTAAAGTTTTTGCTTCAAAGAAGTGGTTGTAAATGTATAATCGCTATTGTTGATTAAAAACAGTTCAGCCGCAGCTTTCAGAAAATCGTTTTTTTGAAAACTGAAAGCGCAGTCGGATGATATAGAAATATCACAGCAAAATGGGTTTTTTATTTACAAAATATTTTTAAAGTCTTATTGTAATGCAAAATACATGATTGGAAAGGAAACTGCGCTCAATAGTATGGACCGTAATGACACAAAAAACAATGAAGTCAGAAGCAGATTGGAAATGTGAAGCTAAAGAACTGTTTGAAAAGGACAGGTTAGTACCAAAACGGTATTTTGTAAAGCTGCATTTTGATCTTCCCCAGCGACAGTGACCAACAGTTTACGTTCTGCCGGGCGAGTGTTGGAACTTTTACTAGACCGTTAAATTTTTAGCGGCTATTTGTCAGTATGACATTAGGTACTGGATATACGATTATACTTTAAGATACGTGTGGCCTACAGCAGCTTAGCGCTGCCGAAAATGTTGAACAAAACGACGATCAGGCATCTGCTAATGCAAGTAGCAGTGCAAACAGTTAATACAGAAGGGATGGGTATGAAATTGTTCTAGTTGTGCTGTCCCTGAACAAAACTCACACTCGCTATCCTCGGTACCAGTCAGGAGAAGCTAGTTTTAGTGCCAGTTTGACCACTCATCCGTTTACACTCGGTAACTGTGATGCAGTAGAAATGCGAGTATACGCTGGAAGCTTTGTTCATTTAGCCGTCCTACTCAAAACAAATTTTAGCACTGATAAATTTTTATGTCTGTATCAGTACTTCGCATCACGTGGCTCATCGCCTTACCAGTTTAATTGAAGAAATTGAAGCGACTTAAAAAATATATGTTTCCAGAATGCCGACTTGAGTTCAGCAGTGAAAGATGGTGCAGAGAAAGAGAACTAATAAAGATGGATACTGTCTTTATTGCCAATTTTCCTTCACTATTAACAGAGTTCAAATTTTAGCGTTTGCTAACTGGATTATCCCAACAACTACTGATTCACAACAAGAGTTAAATGTTGCTAACACAATTGCTTGAATTTACAGCAGATTTTTTGTTTTCTGGAGAAGACTTTGTAGGTTTAATGATATTTTCCAAGTTGCTTCCTCTGCATTCTTTTTTTCTAATGCATCTGCTTTTTATCCGTCCTGTCTTTTGCTGAATTCCTTTTAATTCCTGATTCTTCCATATGATGCTGGACATTGCGCATTTGCGTGTTTCAAATCTGTCATTGTTGCAGTATGTTTGGTTCGCTGTTTTTCAACATAAAACTTTTGTTTTAAAGAATATTCACGATGACTGGATCCAAAAGGTTGGTAAGTCATATA